GAATGCCTAATTATCAAGTACTGTCACTTTGAAATAATTGTCAACAAATGCCATTTTATTTCCATAGTTACATTATTTATTGTTTCGGCCTTTACTTGATGAAAATCCATTTAATTTTGAAAGAGTAAAACCAAATTTGGTAGATTTTCACACTTTTATTTTAAAAATAATTTTTTTTTTTTTTTTTTAAAAAAAACACTAACATGACATATGTTTCGAAGTACAACTTCTTTTTCAAATGTGACTATTTACAATTCGGTATCCAATATATATACGAAATAATTTAACAAAACAAAGTACTTAAGAAAACATCAATAACATTACAAAATAAACTAACTATTTAAAGTAAATTAGGGTACTTAGGTAATTATAATATCCATCAAATAACAATAAGATAGCCCATTACCGGGATTATCTCACAGAAAACTGGGAAAGAGATTTAATAAGGGTGAATTATTAATATCTAATTGATCATTTAGTAAGTTATCTGAATTTTTAAATCTATTTATTTCAAGTGTTTCTAAATGGTTTAATTTAAGGCTCTTATTTTCTACATGTAAAATTTCAAAGTTGTCTGTAAAAGAATGATTTTCAGCTAAAATATGATTTGAGTAAGTAGAATTATTTTTGTTTTTTGTATAGCTATTATAATGTTCGGAATAGCGTTTAGGAGCTCCTAGTGAAAAGGTATCATCATATACCAAAATATTAACGTAGCTTTTAAAACCAATAATACGCTTGGGAAGTATATTAAAAACAATAAGGGTAAAATTAATCCTAATAATAAATCGGGGGTATATAAATTAAATTGTGGTAGTTGTCCAAAATTGTATATTGGTCAAACAGGCCGTACTTTCAAAAAACGCTATTCCGAACATTATAATAGCTATACAAAAAACAAAAATAATTCTACTTACTCAAATCATATTTTAGCTGAAAATCATTCTTTTACAGACAACTTTGAAATTTTACATGTAGAAAATAAGAGCCTTAAATTAAACCATTTAGAAACACTTGAAATAAATAGATTTAAAAATTCAGATAACTTACTAAATGATCAATTAGATATTAATAATTCACCCTTATTAAATCTTTTTCCCAGTTTTCTGTGAGATAATCCCGGTAATGGGCTATCTTATTGTTATTTGATGGATATTATAATTACCTAAGTACCCTTATTTACTTTAAATAGTTAGTTTATTTTGTAATGTTATTGATGTTTTCTTAAGTACTTTGTTTTGTTAAATTATTTCGTATATATATTGGATACCGAATTGTAAATAGTCACATTTGAAAAAGAAGTTGTACTTCGAAACATATGTCATGTTAGTGTTTTTAAAAAAAAAAAAAAAATTTTATTTTTAAAATAAAAGTGTGAAAATCTACCAAATTTGGTTTTACTCTTTCAAAATCCATAGTTACAGTAATTACTTGATTTGGAAAAACAGTTTAAGCCAGTTCAATACTATTTTTCATATTAGGCTAAGCATGTTACTTATTTTAGAATAATATTTTTGACGTTCGTAGAAAAAATTTTGTTTGCATCTCATGCGCGAAATATTTTGGTGATCTCGACTATTTTTTTAACTCGGCTGCGCCTCGTTAATCAGTTCTCGATCACAAGTAGCATTTCGCGCACTAGATACAAAAATAACTATTTTTTACGCAAAACTAAGTGTAGTTTTAGTGTAATTCACGATTTATTTAAATAAGCTATCAATGTCATCCCATTTGACAGTACCTACTTTCTCATTTTTTTTAGATTTCCGATGTGGTCATTTAATATCCTAATCACTGTAAAGGTTATAGATATCCCCGTTTTATGAGTACGAGCAGTTCAATAGGTATTAATTTTAATTTTATATTTTTCAGGTGCAGTAAAACCAACTGAGACTGAGGGAGCTATTATTACTGTTATTTATTACATAATGTAATTAAGACTGTATCTTTTTTATTATAAGAATAAATTCATTTATTAAGGAATATTTTTTCTAGGTTATAATTTAATAATTCGTCGCTGCGCCTGCAAAAACCGCTATGTGCACTTTTTCCCTAAACGTGATTTTTTGCGCCATCCATACTTAACAGCAAGACCTACCGTTTTGTAGTTTTCTTGACGCCCAGAGTAAAATAGATTTCTTCTCAAATGCCAAACCATAAAATCAGCCATGTGCCGTCTATTTAAAATGCGCTTTCAAAAACCGTTATGTTCACATAGCGGATTTTTCCAGTTGTTATTGCTTTATCTGCGCCGCACATGGATGATATTACAGTAGGATGAAACAATACAATAATTGTTGTGATTTTACTGAAGAGGTAAGAAAAACTATTTTCAATGGATTTTGAAAAATACAAAATTGGAACGCTAAGAAAGCCTATTTAAGAGGTCTAACTGATTTTCGATTTCCCAAGAGAAGGAGAGTTAGAATAGAAATGGAAACGGCAAAATAGAAATATAGTTATGGCTATTACCAGATGCTAGTGGAATTAAGTTACGGGTAGTCGCGATTTTTTCTTATCCACTATAGATTTAAAAGAATTGTTTTAACATCTGGTTAAAAGAATAAGCTACAAATAGAAATCATGATGAAGGCGGAAATGAAAGATCAGAAGAATAAAGTACTGTAGAGGGAAAAATAAAGGAAAAATATAAAAATCTAGTGAAACAAATAAAAAAAAATCTAGTGCTCCGACTCTGCAAAAATTAAGTAGTGTGCTTACGTGGTTAAATGAGATACCAAAAGTTCCTAGTCATGCCTAGACTGCCGATCTAATACCTCATAAGAGTTTACGTGGAATCAAGCTTTCAGATCAATGGTCCAAATGTATAGTGTGTATAAGGAATGGTGTAGTGAATCAGGGGTCCCTTCAGTAGAACATAAAAAGTTTTGCGAAATTATGGAATTTCAAAAAGTTTCAATACATAAACCGCGCAAAGACCAATGCGACACATGTGTTGCTTTTAAGGAAGGCAATTTGGCACAGGAAGAGTATGATTTTCATGTATTAAAAAAAGATGAAGCTCGAAATACTAAAGAGATTGCAACGTCTTTATCATCGGATAACACGATGGTTTTTACTATGGACATACAAAGTGTTTTGACTTGTTCAAAGCTACTTGTATCCAGTCAGCATTATAAACAGAAATTACAAGTTTACAATCTATGTCTCCGATAATAAGGATGTGCACATGTACATCTGGCACGAAGGTGATGGTTCCGTCTCATCTAATGAATTCACAACGTGTATTGTAAAAATGAATTCTAATTAAAAAAAAATAATGATTTCAGACGGATGTGCCTACCAAAACAAAAACCGAGTGTATCAAGGGACGCCAACATGGAATTTCACCAGATTATATTGGAAAAAGGGCACACAATGATGGAGGTGGATAGTGTACAATCTACGCTCGAGAAACTTTTCTCGCCACCTATTTACAACCCACTTGATTACATTAATCGCTTGGGACAAGCAAGACCACAACAGCCATACATTATAAATCATGTAGATTACAAGTAATTATTCCTCAATTAAGCCAGAAAAAACAGTCACAGACATTCGAGGTTTGCTTTATAAAAATGGAGACGTGTTTTTTAAACTACGACATACTGATGACTGACAACAATTATCACATCGAAAAAGTAAATTGAAACAACATGACCCTGTAAACCTTTATCAGGAACTGTTAAAACTTGAAAAGGGGAAATTTGGCAATAGGCAGTCTTTAAAACCATTTATGCACAGACATTTTCAATTTTTTTATGAGTCATTGAGTCATCAGTAATATTAATCGGCTATGGAACATTTAATTTTTGGAATGTTTTTTTTTTTAATGAACTTTACTGTTTTTGTATTCTGAGTGTTTTAAATAATTTTCCTTAAACTTTTGTAAACAAAAACCGCCATGTGTTTAAAAGGCGCAAGTAAAAGTAGCTATGTGATGCAGAAAATTCAATATATTTTTTAACCACATAATGTATTTCTATTTTTAGGACCTTTTTTTATTACGTGATCCTTGGTTAAAATCTTTACCTCCTTAGCTTTATCATTTTGACATAATTCAAGAAATGTATTAAGGAAAAGGTTTTTTTGTTCCCCTGTACAATAGTGCTATTTGTACATAGCGTTTTTTGCAGGCCCAGTGACGAATTGTGGAATACTACTACAATTTGTTTAAATTTTTACTATTTATTGTGTAAATTTTTCATATTATTTTTTATGAAACGCAATACATTTTTAATAAAAATTCATTTAATGAATAGCAAAAATTATAACAACTTGTAGAACAATTCTTATGATACAGATGGATATTTTTACTACATATTGTAGATATAATAACTCTACAATACATTCTTTACAAACATTTGGAAATTTTTACTACAAATTGTTCCTGTCCCTATATGTACTATTTATTGTAGAGAAAAAGTCTATAATTTTAGAAATTTGTTCTACAATTTTTTTTCCGTGTGTTTAATGAAACTTTATAACGAATAATAAATAATAATGTTAATTCTTATAGAAATTTTGTATTATTCACAGGTATATCTACATTAGTTAATGGTTGTAGATCATAGGTTTACCTTTTTAACTGTCAAAAAATTTCCGTAAATTTTTTTAGAGTTGCCATAGTAACTAGTCAAAATTAACATCTTATTGATTGGAAAGTAGATGTGTGAAATTTTTATTAAAATTTTGTTTGTTTTTTTAATACATATTTCTTTAAATAATATACCTAATTCGCAATTCAACAAAATCTGATTCATTTGTTAAGTCGGTGGGAGAAAAATATTTTTTTAAACGTAGAATTATCGGATTTTGAAAGTCTTAAAAACTTTATTCGATATATTGTCTCAAAAATAAAATTACACGAAATTTGAGAGTTCCGTAAAAGACTAATTTAGCTGTAAAAAAGATCACTAAAAATTCAATTTCTATTCAACTTCTTGTTTATCATATCAAGTGGGGTGCGGGTTTAGAAAAATTAAAAACAGCAGACTTACCCATCTTTCTTTTCGTTTGAGGTAGTGTCTCCATTAACATAAAGAAATATGCCTGAAACACAATACAACAATTAATACTAATACAATACATTAATTACTAATAAAAACTTACTTGCTACAAAATTAAGATAAATAAATTGTCTCAAAAACATTGCAAATTACTTTCACTAACAATTATTCCGCAATTTTTTTAAGCCCGGTAGCTACAGACGTAAATAATCACGTGAGATGAGATAATAAATGTTTTTGTTATTGACTGCAAACTAGATTTATATTTTAATTACTTGTTTACATTTAATTCAGTTACCCAATCCTGGATGTTGGACACACGAAAGAAAACGATTTCCAACGCAAACAACTTATTGTATTACTTCGGAGATTTCCGGTGAAGAGCTGGAAATTCTAGAATAAAAAAAAAATTCTCGGTAATTCCAATTTAGCACAACATACACGTTTAACTCTGCCCCGGGTTAGTGTTTCTTTTTTTATATAACCAGAGACAACAGAGACGTGTAACTTAATAGGAAAATATGTTCGGTGGTCCATTTAAATTACATATATGACCCTCTTTTTCTTTTACATTGATCTTTACATATGTCTATCTCTCTCCAATAAAACTAACACCATTTTCAGAGGGCGCTGGTGTTGCTGGTTTTTTGACGTAGAAATATCGATTAAAAGTATTAAAACTGACAACTGACAATGTTATGAATGTTGTTATGAACATGTGCATTTTATTAAAATTAATTTAATTTGGGCCCCGTATATTTCTTTTAGTCTGATTTTGTTGTTTAATTAATTTTCTTTGGGGGGGAATGTTTATTTTTGCATATTATTTTTTGCATGAAGCAATTTCTGGAACCAAACTCGCGTTTTTGTACACATTTCTTTCTAGAGGTAAGTAATTTCCAATTTATTAAGAAAACCACTGTATAATGTGTGTGTTTAATAATATATTACACAATGACTATAATTATTTTAGGTGAATTGGAACAGAGATCCATTGTTACAGCTACTTGTGTTCATTAAGTAGGTAGATGAATGTCTGGACAGTTTTAATGGCAGCACAAAGTTCCTATCTACTAGAAAAGTAAAATGTATGCTGAGTAAAAAATCTGCACATGTAGTATTGGCAAAGGACTTTTGAAATGATTAGAGATTAGCTATTTCTTACATACACCTACCTCTAACAGCCACTCTAAAGGAAGAAAAAAAAATTGAATCACAAAAGGGCAGAATTTTAAATCAGGATGCATTGGAAAATAAATTTGGGAGCATCAGGTCGGTTTTGGATTTTATAGAGAGATCAATCTCAAGAAAAGTTAATTTATCCTGCAGAACAACCAGTAGTTTAAGTAGGATTTGCTATAACTTGATTAGAAATTTTCTTTGATAATAAATTGTAATATAGGTACCAATTATTGTTTCAAATGAAATTGAAAAAGAGTTAAATATGAAATTAGATTTTTCATGAGTAAAATGTTATATTCATTCGAACATTGTAAGGTAATCTATAATTAAGGGAATATGGAAAATCGGTATACCCTGGTGGTGTAAGAGAAAGGTAAGGGGCAATGACAAAAAAATTACAAAAATGTATTTATCTTTAAATAGTGTTTATTATTAATAATATTATTTGCTATGTTTGAAAAGTACCTCCTGCTTCTGAACAGATTGAATAGATTAGACTACTAGTTGGAGAAGGTCCACCTAGTAACCAAATTAGGAGACTAGGAAAACTTTTACATGACTCAACAGGAATGCACACACACAAGACACACAAACAAACGAAATAACAGGGGTAAGCCTTCAGCAACGTCCTGTTTAAATGATGATAGTATGTCATCCTTCATTCCCTTTTAGAAGGCATGGCATATAAATATATTGATCTTGATTACTATAAGAGGAGTTAGCAGGGGTCTAGCAGGTTTCGATCCAGTTTACAGGATGGGAACTTACTTGACTCGGGCCTTATACATTTGTGTTGAGTGTATGTGTGTTTCGTTTCCATGGTTTCTATTAAAATAAACAGTCATAACATATCCATACCTTTTTGCCAGACTAACATAAGTGACATTTGTTTAAATGGCACTTATGATAGTCTGGAAAAAAGGTATCGATACTATACTTTATAAAATATTTGTTACATTAGTTTTTAAATATATTATGAATATATAACAACTGTTACTTTCTTTGTAATTTGTCACAAAATGATAGGAGGTACTTTCTAAACGAAGCAATTGTAGTTTGTTTTTCTGTACCTTACAAAAATATAATTTATAGAAAAAGAGTTTGGTGTATTATTTTTCCAAGTTTAAATATTTAATAATCAATAGAATTTTCAAGTTTTTTTTTAGCGAAATTTACAAGAGTAATAAAAACTATGTTCACTGTTTATATTAAACTGATTAAAACTTCCTTTATTAAAATGATTAATTATTTATGTGATAAAAAATTTGATGTTATTGGAAGCTTTTATATTTTTTTAATATACAGTGAAACAATAGTTTTTGTTTCTCTTGTAAATTTGTATAGAAAAACTTTATTTCTGAATCCATGTTTGAATTTTTCGCCCTAAAGCATTTTTAATTTTCCCGCTATTTACTAGTGGCGCCATCATAGACTGGTTGTGGTTACAATCGCCCAAATAACTTTTACCGAACAAAAAAACTACATTGAGTTACACGTCTCGCTGGATTGTCTCTGATATAACTAATCTTTCCTAATCTAATTGAAGCGGTGGAAAAACCATTAACAAGTTAAATAAATGTACATTATAGCTCCACCTATACAGGGTGGCGCAACAAAAATGACATTTACTGGCAGCTCAGTTCTTTTTTGGAAAAACGCCCAGACCCGTCGATTTTGTTTTCGAAAGAGGACACACAATTGGCAAAAAATTAAGTTAACACGTACAGCCCCCTAGGCGGGAGTGGCACCATTGTATAAATATATCTAGTAAGTCAATGTTTATGAAGAAAAAGTTTGATTTTATTATGCTCGTCACATGGCGGTTCCAAGCGGACAGTAGCGCAATTAAATAAAAGTAATAAGCAGAAGATAGTTTTTTAGATGCCGCACAGTGGGCTAACATAAAATGAATAAAAAAATCTACAAAACTGTGTCCCTATAGGTTTTTTGGGTCACTGATTACGAATATGATGTCGAATAAAACAAAATTCAAATGCCGGATCCAATATGGTGGTTCAAAAATGATAAATTTAACGGATTTGTATGTAACTTTGGATATATGATATTTTGACGTCATTGATTACGAATTAAACATTATAATTTAAAAATTAAAAATGGTGGATCCAAGATGGCGGATCAAAAAAAAGTAAAATGTAGTAGATTTAAATAAAAATTTGGATATATGGTATTTTGAGGACACTGATTACGAATTAGTCATCGTAATTGTAAAATTCAAAATAGCGGATCTAATATGGCGGATAAAAAATATACATTTATTTATTGATTTATTTATTGATACACTGCTCAACAGGCAATTCCAATTACAGAGCAGGAAATTCTGACAAAAATAATTAAGAAAATATAAGAATAGGTAAACATTATACAGACTTATAAAGGACCCCGCAGGTTTCTTATGGAAATTGGGTTTCCGTGGATTTTTTTAAATTTTTGATATGATGTAGTCAATCTCATTCTCAACAAATGTTACCATTGCGCCAACCCCTAAAAATGAACAATTTGTCTGCTTGGGGGCGTTAAAATCACCCATTTTTAAAAATAGACCATATATTTTGAAAGCCTGGAAAAATATATTTGCAAGTTTTATTTTAGGTTATGCTATATAGTATTGTACTTTTTATTTTAAAAAAATCTAACCGCCTCCCACTACCCCCCAACCTCCCCCTACCCCAGTTGTCAAACTATTATCTTGGGTACTTTTAAATGCATTGCCAAATAATAATAATAATAATAATAATAATAATAATAATATAACTTTATTCATGTAGGTATACAAATACAATATAATATAAATAATTTTAGAAACAATTAAACATTATTTACAAGAATAAAGTAAGAAGCAATAAGTACGTGAGTACTTGTTTCGCTGTACACAATATACACTATTATCTAATTATCCTAATTACATGAATTAATTATTCTAATTACGGTAAAAAAAAAAATAAAATATATATATATATATATATATATAATTATATTTATTTAATAATAGAAGAAAATAGATAATGTTAATGTTATATCCAAGTAAGTATGTCTAATCTGGCTAGTTTTGTCAAGTCATGTAAGTATGTATATTCCGGGTAAGTGTTTCTTATTTTGGAAATAGCAAAATTCTAATTTTTTTTTTTTTGTTAATAGATTTTGGAATTTAGGTAAAACTTATCCTAAAATATTAGATATGAATTGTCTGTGGTTTTCCATTATAAACAACTTCAGCTTTGTTTTAAACAAATTTTTATTATTTATTCTTTTTAGTGTTTCAGGCAAAGTATTGTAACATTTTAAAGCGACATAAGAGTATGCTCGTTGAGAAATTGATTTTTTAACTATTATTGGGTAAGTGTGAAGATTGTAATTTCTAGTGAAGTGGTGGTGTTCGCGATTGGTAGTTTTTTTATTTCCAAAATGGTATTTAACATTGGTACTAAAAAAGAGAAGTTGTTTGACATCAAATACTTTACTTTCTGCGAATAGATTTTCGGTTGGATATCTATAGAGTTTGCCCATTATTAATTTTAGAAATCTTTTTTGGATTATTTCTAACGGTGTTAAGTGAACCTTTAAAGCAGAACCCCAAGCTGTTATTGCATATCTCAGGTGACTTTCAACAAGTGCTGAATATAGTTTTTTTAACTCATGCTGCGGTAGGCATTTACTAAGCTGTTTAAATTTATGTAAAATTGACTGTAACTTTTTAACAATGTAGTTTATCTGGATATCCCATTTTAAATGTGTATCGATATGCACTCCCAAGTATTTCATTTCTGAGACCGATCGTATATCTATTAAGTTATCAAGCCAATTTTTTATAATTGTGAAATCTATTTCTACTTTTTTCTTTAGCTCTAACCAATTGTTTGCCTCATAAAAAATTGCGGTGTCGTCGGCATAACCAATTATATATCCAGATCTATTTAATTAAAATATATCATTTATATACAAATTGAACAACAAGGGTCCCAAAACTGTACCTTGGGGTACGCCACACTCTATGTATTCAAAATTGCTATATTCATTACCTATTTTAACTAGCTGTTTTCTCTCATTCAGATAACTCCTAAATATTTCTAGGCAATTTCCTCTAATTCCAATATTTTCCAAAGTTTTCAGCAACAGGCGGTGATTAACCGTGTCGAATGCTTTACTTAGGTCTATAAATAGACAAAGACAGGGTTTTCCTTTTTCTAATGATGAGTGGATCTTCTCCGTTAGTTCTAGTATAGCATCCTCAGTTGAAGTATTTTCTTTAAATCCAAACTGTTGCTTGGATATTAGGTTATATTTT